AACATAAGGTAAATAGCTATTTTTACTATATATAAATTAAAAATGCCTATATAAAACTAGCATATGTTGATTTTATTAAATAATTATTCTCCCAATAGTAACATATCACACGCCACAGTAGTGCACTAATATTTGTATATACTAAATGCAATATCTTCCGTTCCTGGTTTTTCGTGACGACGTCGCATAGCTGTCTTATTATACGTAGTATATTTAAGAGTAACGATACTCCTAATAGTTTAGATAATCCCGATCCTCCCTTACATTATCACCCCCCTTCTTCCGATTAGACTACCGCTGACCCTAGTATAAATAGATTATCGAAACCAATCGTTTATACTTACCTACTTCGATATCAATTAGTTATTATACCCATACTATGTTAACTATTGGAGCTAAACTGTGCAACGTTCTCCGCTCTCCCAATTTACAATAGTAACACTATACTGTAAGATTTCATTGCCTTATCTTAAAGACTTTATTCTGACTTTAATAATTAATAATTAGAAAAAATTAACTATAATAAAACCTTTATTAATAAAAAGTGTTTTTAAGCATCAACTTTGATGTAATTATAATTGTGCATAGCTATAATTAATCAATAAAAAAGATAGCAATAATAAAAGTATTTGTACAACTATCAATCGAAAATGCTTGAACATAAACACAAGTTAATTACACTGAGGAAGATACGTAAGAATACGTTAATTACTCCATTATTCGTCTTATAGATCATTAACAAAGATCTATTTAAATTTTACTATAACCGTTGTGCTACTTGTGAACACCCTTAGATCCCTTATGATAAATTTAGAAATATTAAAGAAATAGAATACTCGCAGATAGAAAATGAATACGTATAGAACATACATCTGTTTTTACTTATTAATAAAATGAAATTATAATTTTAATGTTATATAAAAATTCTTAAGTAATATACTAAATAATAACTTACTATACAATTACTTATCTTCCGATACTTTATTATTATATTTAAGTTCTAGCACTTTGGTCTTTAATTCTAATTGTAATCGATATTCGAGGTCTAATTTATATTTATCCAAGTTTATTCGTTCAATTTCCATTTGCTTTTCGTGCTCCCACTTTTCACGCCTAAATAAACGTTCATTTTCTTCTTTTTCTTTTTCATATAAGAATTTATCTCTTTCTAAATTGAGTTGCTTTTGCTTAGTTTCAGCCTCAATTTTTTTAGTTTCTGTAATTGTATCCATGGAGTTTATATAACGCACTTCATCATCATCTAACTTTCGTTTTTTTTTAGATTTTAAAGAGTAGTCTTTATCTTTTGGTTCTAAGCTAGTACCGTAAGTCTATTATATAATAGTAATTATTTATTATTAGTAATTAACTAATTAGTATGCAAATCTGATACGTATAATATAAAAATTACTTGTGACTAGAGATGCAGGTGAATTGTCCCAATGATGTCGTAACTTTGCTGTAATATACCGCAACTATATTAAATAATTATAAAAAGTTACAGCATATTTGCTGTAACTTTTTATAATTATTTAATATAGTTACGATATGTTACGGCAATGTTACAGCATTATTAGGACGATTCGCCTACATCTCTACTTGTGACTTTATAAAATTACTTTCAAATCACAATTAAATTTATATTTACCTGACCCATACTATTGATTATAAAATCGGGATTTACATTCTCCCGATTTCCAAAAATATTATTCATCTCAGTATAAAATAGCCAAGTGGATGCACCCTTCCCCGTTTTGTTAGAGCTTTCATTCATATACTTGCTTATAAGTGATTGCATTTTATTATGAACCTGTTTGCCAGTTTTACCTTTACCAAGGTATATAGCAGCTTTAAGGTAAAATTTGTCCTTGTTCATTCTATATGATGACATATTATCAGATAAGTAGGATAGTAATGATTTAATAGCCGAATTCGGCCAGAGTTTATTGTCATCATCACTATCATCCAAATTGATTATTTTTTTCTGTTTAGAAGATGATGTATCTGGGTTGGGAGATAAAGGATTTATATTGGGAGATAAAGGATTTATATTAGGAGATAAAGGATTTGTATTGGGCGATAAAATATTTGTATTGGGCGATAAAATATTTATATTAGAAGATGAAATATTTGTATAGGGAGATAAAAAAAATGCTTTCGTCTTAGATGATTGCATATTAGAAGGCATAGTAATAGTATTCGTAGCACAATTCTCATCTTCGTTGTTAAGTGAGATAATTTCAATTTGATCGTCGTTAATAATATCAGGCTCTTTAAGAAAATCATTATAACGAGTAAACTTTTTAGAAATTTTGTTTGGATAAACTGAAAAAATAGGTTGAGTTTGTGCTTGTTTTAAAATATCCATTTTTGAAAAATTTAAATTTGAATTACAACGGCATAAGTGCTGAACTATTTATATTAAAATTATCTTTAAAATATATATATAGTCGAAAGTTTTTTAATCTTTTAATTGACAACTACGGTTAGATAAACAAAATAATTATATTAAGGATTTTTTTTTTAACACGATTATATTGCGCAGCTACCTAATTTAAGAATATAATCTATAATAATCAAAGATTTGATCAAAAACTCCTGAAGCTTATAATAGTACAAAATTTATACTATGTTAGGAAAATAATTAAACAATCTTACCATCAACATATGTATAAAACACGAAGTGCTTTACATATAATATTCTAAAAGAGCTTTCAGCTACTTAACATTATTGATATCTTGTTCTGAAAGTTTTTTTTTTGCATCGGGCTAACAATAAATACTGCATGTTTTCATATTTAAATTACAATATGTCATAATTAAAGTCAATTCTGCGACAGAAATTAGTGTTCAATATATATTATATGATGATTAAAAAAAATATTGGAATTCAAATCGCTACGTAGAACAAAAAACATTATAAAGAATTAAAATGTCATTCGTGGTTCTATGTGACAAAATTGTATATACATTACGAATTATATCACTTCCTATGTGACTTATGAATACTTGTGATAAACTAATAACTATATATAAGTCACATAATAATACGAATGTGTTTCAAATTGCATCTATAGGCTAACTATTTATATCCATCGATTAACTATTTATATCTATCTACTACCTTAATCGGTAAAACCTCAAA